ATATCATCTAGTCAAGGAAAAACCTAGAAGCAATAGTAGACCAATGTCATGCAACATGTCAATTTGAACAACTGACCCACAACCAGGTGAAAGTCGATCTTAATGAGAGAGTTGTTTGGCATCAAGTTTTTTTTGGGTCTATTCAATTCTTTGAACTATAACATGTGGTCTGCAATTCCAAAATCACAATTTGCAGAAACTTATCTTAATAATAGAGTTGTCTAATATTAAGTTTCTTTGGATGGTTCTTATCTATGGAGATCAAGAACAACGGGTTAATTGATCTGATATTTACAAATGATAAAGGAAACAACACGACTACCAACTACTTATGGATTTGTATATACTTTTTGGTTCAATAACAACTCCGATGAAAATGTATCAGATAATAATCTTTACACGAGTTACCATCATGCAAAAAAATAATATCTATTCCATCAATTTAGAAACAAATAATGAAATACTCACAATAACATATGAAGTATAAATGATTAGTTTTTATATAATAAAGTATATGCAAATAAACATTAATAAAAGTTGAATTATCATAAAATACATATTCGTTCCGTTTCATATTTATTGTCAATTTTGTATTTTAGAAGTATTTTTCTTTAACTTTGATTATATATATATATATATATATATATATATATATATATATATATATATATATATATATATATATATATATATATATATATAATACTTGATGCAAAATATATGAATTGATTGTGTTTTATATGTTTTTTTCATTGTTATAAGTTTTATAAAATAAATTGTAACACAAATAAAAAAATATTTAAGATTAAATTTGAGGAATAAATACTTTAAAAATCAAAATTAGACCGTAAATATAAAATGGATGGAATATCAAAAACATACTATCACATTACCTAAATAACCAATACTATTGTATAAAAATACTGATATACTATAAACAAAAAACATGCACTCTCCCGATCGGTAGTACACTCGAAAGTGAAAGTATAGGTTTTCCACCACCCCTTAACTATTATATAGAATTAAAAATATAAATAAATAAATAAATAAAAATCGATCCAGCTATGTCTAAAATCTTCTTTTAAATACTCAACATGTCTAAAACCCTTCGTTGGGATTCCGGATACTATGTAACACACGAATCCTATGAAAAATATCTATTAAAAAAATGTATTTTCAATAAGATCGGAAAGAGTAAAAAAAAAAAAGGTTTACTGAGCAAATTTGTCGTGTTACGAACCTGATTAATCATATGGATTATCTTGACATTTTTTAAATAGTAAGAAATAAATTACGTTTATTCCCATCAAGGATATTATACTACCAAATGATCATTTTCTCCCGAAACTATTTTAAATAACCTTATAATTAGCAAATTAATTTTTGCAGATTTCTTTTAACTATATGAGATTACCAACGAAAAACCTATTATTCTACTAAATTACCCATACACTGTGAAATAACTTTTAATCGTATTTCACGATAGTTATATCATAAAATAAATATCAAATATAACTTTTTAATACCGTCAAACATAAACCATCTGTGATTTATTTTGAGAAATTGATTTATTATGAAAACTATGTTTTAAAATCGTTCAAAAACACTATCCAAGTTTCGTTTATTCAAAGAACATCATAAAAGTAATGTTTTTGTACAAAAAATATCAATAAAGTACACACTTTGTTCAAATGACACTTTATACCAACAGGAGAGGGGAGGGGCATGATATTACAGGTAAAAACTAATTAAATAAAAAAACAAGGGCAAATGAGTCAAAATGGTAACTATGTTTCAAAATCGTTTTAAAAACAACATCCAAGTATTTTATGTTCAATAAACACCATCCAAGTAACATATTTGTACAAATAACCAACGCACTATACGTTTTGTATAAATGTTTTCTACTGCTAACCGACTTCATGTTTTTTTTGAACGACATAAACTTTAAATAAAAATACTAGCTAGATGCTAGCAAAAAAAGAACACAATAGTTCAAAATTATATGATTAGATTTTTGACCCATGGAGTCCAACTTTGATTGATCTTAGTAATTCTATAGCAAAACCATTTAAATGCAAAAGGCTACAATATTATCAAGCATGGTAGCTTTTCTATATTGTTATACCGGAATACCATAACATTCATATAAGACCATAGAACCCAACGAAGTGTCATAAAAACCAATTCCAAAATTTTATGTTTTAACTAGACCGCTGTATGCAAATCACTCCATTGAAACATATATGTGACGTTCGAAAACTAACGAATATCCATGTGCATTCAAACCCGCATTCTTTGCCATCTCACAAGCCAAATCACAAATGAAAAATAAACGATCAACATATTGTAAATAGCTAGAACAATAGGACACAAAGATGAGTCAACCTTAATCTCTCTTTTATCTAAGTTCACTCGAATAGGAAGACGGTCAATAACTAACTGCCAAACAAAAACGTTGACCGTTATAGGAACAAAATTATTCCACCTAATAGTTGGTGACAAAAAATTAATTGATATATTCATCTTTTATATATTGATTTATGGCTTCTTTATAAATGAATGACTTTTTTTTTCCTCTTATTACTTCTTTTTCTGCTAAATCATTGATACTGAACTTAAACTCACACATTTTAAAGACACTGAAAGGTATTTGATGATGCAAACCTTTATTGTTGTGAGTACCCTTCTCGAATTTGGACATCAAACATGATGACTAATCCTGATCAAAAGTTCATGGTAAGCTTAACTGAAAGATTTTTTTATGTCATTCTCTTATATATTTGCTTGGTTATTTGATTCATTTTTTTTGAATACGAAGACTAATCCTAGAAAAAAAAAGTTTAGGGTTTGTCCCAACCGAATAGTAAGCTTATTTGAAAGCTTTATGATGTCCTCCTATATATTAGATTGTTATGTGATTAATATTTTGAATATGAAGGATCCAAGGGGATAAATTTCCATAAATAGCTTCATATTAAAAAAATGAATCAAATAATCAAACAAATATACATGAGAAGAATATGATAAAGCTTTATGTTAAACTTACAAGACAAAAAATGAATCAAATAATCAAACAAATATACATGAGAAGAATATGATAAAGCTTTATGTTAAACTTACAAGACAAAACTTGAACTTTTTATTAGGATTAGTCTGCATGGTTGATGTCCAAATTCAAGAAGCGTACCTATAGCTACAAATGTTTGCATCATCAAATATCTTATATATCTTTGAAATGTGTAACCTTGAGTTGGAGATCATCGATTTAGTAGAAGAAGAAGCCATCATATGAGAAAAAGAAATCATTCGTTCATGAAGAAGCGTTGAATCGATTTATAAAGGAGAAAAATATCAATTAATGTCATGTCACCAATAAACAAGGAGATCAGCATAAGCTAGTTTTGGACATCAAACACAACTTAAATAATATTTTTTTTGAATTCTCCAAAGTCATTTTCTCATTTATTTTTAGGAAGCAGCTAAACATATGGTTTTATTGAAAAAAAATTTTTTTATCACATCTAACCCAACACAAAAAATTATAAATGACTGATTTTAACGAGATTCAAGGAATAAGGAAGGCAAGGCATTTAACATCTAACATTTTCATCCAAGGAAGTGGGACCCAAACAGTGTTTGATAGGGATCCAGATACAGAGATGTTGAGGGTCCATCGTCCAAATCGGATACTGTCGTTATACGCCTACATCCATCACACTCAAACATGGCCTTTCACTCCCCCCATCTGCTACCACAGTCCACAGATGCTCTGCGATTTTACCTCAGATTCCAAACCCCTAACCTAGCGTTTCAATTTCCCACTTCTACTCACAGAACACTTTCTCTCTCATTTCAACAAATAATCCAACCCTAGATCTCCCAAGTCTCAATCTGCATTCGTAATATTCATGTAACTGATGTAAGTGCTCAACTACTCTCGATCCACTTTTTATCTCTTTTTCTGTACTTAAAACTTATTTAATATCAGATGTCGGAGTTTGTTCCCAGCCTCCCATCGAAAACTCCGCGTTTGAACTCCCAATGTTTTTATTTTTATCGTTCTTATCTTATCTGTTTTAACTGTTAAATCTTTACTTTCTATGTGCGAATCTGCTTGATACATCAACTAATTGGAAGGCAAGTTTTTCTATTAATTGGCTCGCTGTGCATTCTAGTGTTGATTTTGATGCTTTATTTTAGCTTTAATGTCTGTGCTTATGGTTCTGATACACAGTTGCTAAAGTGAGATTTCGTTTTCGATTGTTTTTATGCTCTCGAGTTTTCGTTTGGTAAGTATCGGATGAAATGGCAAAACAGAAGCTATTTAAATTCAGTAGATCTCCTCTTGGTATATACAACTAGTAATCTATTTTGATCTCCCAGAGCGAATCATAAGAAAGATACTGCTTGCCTATTGTGAATGGTTTCTCGAGATTTTTCTAGATTGTAGTCTGTAGATCACATATTTTGCTGCATATCTATCGATGTATTGCATATTTGATTTGATTGAAATGTTGATACCCAATGGCTTAATCACCTGGAATTAAGCTGGAAAACGAACATCAAACCCTAATACTTCAGGGAATTGAGTAGAAACAAACTATCTGCTATGACACTCTTAAAACGTGCACCATTTTCACATTGTTGATCTTGTTTTCAATATATTTTCAAAGCAAATGAAAGAATCCTCCTTGTGGGGACCTTGGAGCTAAAAAGCACTTTTCAGGACCCTTTTCTTTGTTCATATGCATTTTCATTTTCTTGAGTTCTTTTCGTAACAGTGAGCTGTGCTGGTATTCTTTATAACATTAAATGATGATGAAAAAAAAAAGCAGAAAAGGCGATCTATCTGACTTTGCTTTCCATTGGTCCCATTGCAGGATTCCTTCCACATATATTTTTCCTAGAAAATTCTAATAGTATGTTCTTCATACCTGGATTCTCCCCTTAACCCATTGCACTGTGTAATTATCACATTGAGGCAAACATTGCAATAAATGGGTTCACTTTATGGCACACACGAGATTGTTGAGTTAAATGATGAACCTAAAGTGAGTGATTATTCCAATCGTTATCACCAATCAAGGGCAAAAGAGAAAGAGAAAAAGCCTCAAGGGTACAGTAGATATATAGAAGATGACATCAACAAGCTATTTGAAGGTATCAATATCAGAACTTCATTCAATGGCTCCAGTTATTCAGATGAAACAGGTGGCAACACACCAAGAAAAAACCAAAACCCATCAAAGAAACCAATGAGAATGAGCTATTCATCTTCCTCCGGAATCGGGTATTCCGAACCCGTGTCTTTGAAACAAGCTTTACGGGGTTTATGTATTTCTCAAGCTTCAGAAATGGCTGCCATCAAACGACATTCAATGCCTCCAGGCTCTCCCGCTCTTTCCGATTCCGGTAAGTTGACCGATTTCTACAAGTCCTTTGTTAAAGGCACTGATTCCGGTTCCGGTTCCGGTTCCGTTTCCGTTTCTTCCATGAATCAAGAAAGCACATCAAGAACTTCAGCAAAGATTCCGAGTCTTGAAAAGTCAACAATTAGTGTCAAAGTAAAACCTCCACAAAAGCTGAATGAGATTTTACTCGTACCGGAATCGGAAAGTAGTCAAGAACCAATACAAGAAAAGAATTCCATTCCTTCTCCACCTTCGTGTATTCCAACCGAAACTTCATCGGAATCAGTCAATTCCGAAGTTAACATTATAAAGAATAATCTTACACCAAGTAAGTCAACCCCAAAGTCACGCTATAAAGGAAAGTCAACTCGTGTAGTCAAGACTGTAATTCGAAACAAGAACCTCGTGAAGAAAAAGTCAAAGCAAGAATTCACCTCATCTCCTGAAACCAATCTAATATGCCAAAAATGCCACTGTACAATGAAAGAATCCAAAAAAGAACAACAACAACAACAACCGAATAAAGACTCTTCAAAATCACCACTTTCCACCATCACATTGATAAGCAATAAGAACTCAAAATACAAAGATAAAGGCGAATTCACCCAAAGCTCAAATAGCAGCATTTGTGAATACAGTTCAAGTACTAGCATAAGTGAAGACAGAAATCTCAGTGGGTGTATTATCATAAACAGACCTCACATGTCAAAAGACATAAGATGGCAAGCGATTAATCATATGATGAAACAAAACGGGTTTCTAGGGTTAGGACATTTCAATCTGTTGAAGAAACTCGGGTGTGGGGATATTGGTACTGTTTATCTCGCTGAATTAATCGGGACTAATTACCCTTTTGCCATTAAAATCATGGATAATGAGTTTTTAGAAAGAAGACAAAAAATGCCCAGAGCTCACATGGAAAGAGAGATTTTAAGCATTCTTGATCACCCGTTTCTCCCTACACTCTACGCTCATTTTGTATCTGAAAACTTGTCGTGTCTGGTTATGGAGTATTGTCCAGGTGGCGATCTTCATGTCCTGAGACAGAAACAACCCGCTAGATTCTTTCATGAACAAGCTGCAAGGTATGCAAGTTCTAGCATTCTGCAATTTCAACTTAACATTATTTATTTTACCAATTTTACTAAAATAGACATTGAAATTGAATGTAGATTCTATGTCGCTGAAGTCCTTCTTGCTCTTGAATACCTTCATATGCTTGGGATTGTTTATCGAGATTTAAAACCCGAAAATATTTTAGTCCGAGAAGATGGACACATCATGGTGACTGATTTTGACCTTTCTCTTCGTTGCTCCGTGAACCCGGTTCTCCTCCGATCACCTTCAACGGGTCCGGGTTCGGGTCCGGGGCCCACAGAGCCACCTAGGATGTCGGGTCCATGTGCTGGTTCCAGTTGTATCGATCCTTTCTGTATGAAACCCACATGTCAGGTTCAAGTCTCATGTTTCCGACCACCAAAAGGTCGGAAAACAAAACCAGACCCCGCCGGGGAACGCCGGAAACTTCCACAGATGGTGGCTGAGCCGACGGAGGCTCGGTCAAATTCATTTGTCGGGACACACGAGTATTTGGCGCCTGAAATTATAAAAGGAGAAGGACATGGGAGTGCGGTTGATTGGTGGACGTTTGGGATATTTCTATACGAGCTTTTGTACGGGAGAACGCCGTTTAAAGGTCCTGGGAACGATCAGACGTTGGCGAATGTTGTTTTGGAGAGTCTTAGGTTTCCGGAAACGCCGCTGGTTAGTTTTCAGGCGAGGGATTTGATTAAAGGGTTGTTGGCGAAAGAGCCGGAGAATCGGTTGGGGTTTCATAGAGGGGCGGCGGAGATTAAACGGCATCCGTTTTTTGATGGGCTGAATTGGGCTTTGATACGGTGTGCGTCTCCACCGGAATTGCCGGAGGCGTATGACGTGGCGGTGTCTAAGGCGGCGGCGTTAGAGAAAGCGAAAAAGTATTTGGATTATAATGGGGGTTCTGGAGGGGGTCTGGAGTTTGAGTTATTTTAAGATTGTGGAAGTTGAAAGTTATTGGCCGAGTTTTGTAATCGATAATCGGCGCACTTGTACAAACTATTGCTTAGAATTATGAAATTTCAGACCCATTTGCATCCACTTCCACCATCTTCACGATTTAAAAAGAAAAAACAACTGTATATTTGATCAACCAAATCAAATGTAAAACAATATTTTGTAAAATGCTAAATTGTTACTCAATTATTAGGAAAATGAAGCAACGAAGTTTTCAAAATATGTAAAAAAAGTTAATTATTTTTTTAGTTCACAAAATACCATTGAAGTATACTTTTTATATAGAGAATGAATACCAACAAAGTCCGCATGCGTTTAAAAAAATATCTTTGTTTTAGATACACAAAATACCATTAAAATATACCATTTGTACATAGAATACCAACAAAATATATATTTTAGTACAAAAAATATCATTGAAACGTTGAAAATATTCAAAAAATATCATTGTTTATAAGAGCACTTTTGTGAACTTTGTTGTTTCCTGATTATATAAATAGCAGTCATCGGAGATCATTTATCGTTGTACCAATTCACACAAGCTATGCACTCTCTTTTGTTCCCTTGCTTGATCAGTTTGTATCTAAATACAATCATAGAAAAACGCATAACTAATAATCCATCGATTAGGATGCAAGTTATTCAAGCGCTCTAACATATGTGCTTCTTTCTCTACTTTAACTACAAATCATCATCAAATCAGTCACATGTTCCTGATCATTCATCTCTTATTGGTTTCGGAGAATTAAATCCAACCCCTACTCTCTACATCCACATTTAGGAATTCTCATGACATAATGTCACACTCGTTTCTCCTTTGTGTCCCTCTTGTGACGCAACACTAATGAACGGCTAACCTTGATGTATAATAGGTGTATCTATATAATGTATATATGATTTAGGTTTGTGGCATATAATGCGATTAGGAAGCAAAAACATTTAACTAATGTTATTACACACTCACTTCTTATATTACCACAAGAATAATCGAGTGAGGGAATGAAAGAGATTGCACAACTGTTGTGAACTGATATGACAATGCATGATCTTTTGTGATTGTGTTCTACATAATCTATCAACAACGAAGTTAACAAAAAATGCAGTATTTTTTGAACATTTTGGAAATCTCATTATGCTTTTAAGTCACTTTTCCATTTATCTGAAGTAACCAGTTACCAGAAGATTTTATTTAAACATATGTGTATTTTGTTGAGATTTTGTATACAAATACTGTACTTTAATGGTATTTTTTGTACTAAAAAAACAACAATGATAATTTTTGAACATTTTAGAAATAAAGTAACCTAATGGTTATCTATAATAACCGGTTCAATGATATTTTGTGAAAAAAAACAATTATCTTTTTTGTATATTTTAAAATTTTCGTTACCGTTTTAAGTTATTTTCCCATCATTGTTTACGAACTAAGTAAATTACACAGTTTATTTTAAAAATAATAAAGATTCTGATCAATGATAACTGAAGTCTAATTTTTTTTTTTTCTTTTTGGTTTAGAAAGTTTATCTAATATAATATGTTGGAAAAAAATAAAAAAGTAAATTGGTCAGATAAAAATGGCCATAACGATTAACGAATGATATTATTAAAAATCCACATACGTTGATAAAAACTTGATGGGCCAACCTTATATTATCCATCCGGGAATCTTGAGATTCAACATGTTTTTCTAAATAGTTTGGTTCAACTACTTGAACCAATCGATCATGTATTCAGTCGAATTAAAAAAAAAAAAAAAAAAAAAAAAAAAAAAAAAAAAAAAACCTAATTATTATTGAGCCAAAATAGAATACGTAGGGTTACGGTGATCATTCATTAAAAATAAATTATATGATTATATTAAAAAAAAAAAAAAAAATTACTGACTCAAAATTTGTAATAAACGGGTCATTTGATGGATCAACGGGTCAATCCATTAAAAGTTAAAACGGTATTGAAAGTTTGGGTTTTGAAATTGAACATAAACCGCCTTCACTCTCTTCCCCTCAATCCGCATGTATTGATTCTCATCTTCAAGATCGCCTATAACACAATCATCGTCTGGTGACTCTACTCGGCAGAGCAACCACGACCACGACCATAACTGCAGCTCCGATTCTACATTCTCCGGTGAAGGTTCTTTCCTCTGCTTCCACCCAACGTCTCCTCTTCCAGTAACAAGTAATTCTGAATTCCTTCCAATTTTTCGAGAACTTCTACACCGTCGATTCCTCCAATGTTTCCCGATTTATTTATTTCTGATCTATAAATTAGAATCTTGCTATTCAAAATTTAAGTTATATGTTATTTTAAACTTGTTACAGTGAATTTGAAGCTGATTTCTGAAAACCCTAAGTTTGAATCTGAAACCCCCAATTGCTTTTTGTCCCTAACCTACAGTAGATAAATAGTAAATTCTTCTGGTATCTTAGTTATGGAATCCGTTGTGTTTACTTATGGTACTGAATAATCATTGCAGTCGTAAACATGCCTAAGGTGAAGACAAACCGCGTGAAATACCCCGAGGGCTGGGAATTCATAGAACCAACTCTTCTCGAATTACAGGCAAAAATGAGAGAAGGTAAAACTCCCTCGAAAATTACAATAATTTCATTATCTGATCACATTGATATGCAACTACTTCACTTTCTGCAAATTCCAAGAGGCTATAATGCTCTTAAAGTCTTAACAACAATATCTTCTTTTTCTTCCCTTTTTATATGGGCAGCTGAGAACGATCCACATGATGGGAAGAGAAAATGTGAGACCCTGTGGCCAATCTTCAAAATTGCACACCAGAAAAGTCGCTATGTCTTTGATCTTTATCATCGTAGGAAGGAAATTTCTCCAGAACTGTATGAATTTTGCTTGGATCAAGGGTATGCTGATCGTAACATCATTGCAAAATGGAAAAAGGCAAGAAAGATAGATAACTGATTTTCTATTTAGTTTTTTCCTTCAGTTTTCATGATTCTTAAAAGCTATCTATATGCCTTTGGCTTTTATGAATGTCATTTTTGTAACCACAATGATCATGCATGATTTCAGGCTGGATATGAAAGACTTTGCTGTTTAAGATGCATTCAACCACGTGATCACAACTTTCAAACAACGTGTGTTTGTAGAGTGCCTAAACATCTGAGGGAGGAAAAGGTGATAGAGTGTGTGCATTGTGGATGCAAAGGCTGTGCTAGTGGTGATTGATCACTTATTTTGTACCAAATTGAACTTTTGTGTTTGTTATTATACTTTTAGACAAACATTTGGGTCTAAA